TATTTTAAGTCATATAGTCCATCAACAAACTCTAGCCCAGTATAGCTCAGAGTTCAAAGAAATCCTATTTTGATAGGAAAAGGCGCGGGGTGAAAACTCACTTACCCTCGAGCGCATCCACCCGTTTGATCTGATCGTCCTTGACCTTCCCGAAAGAAAGCTCGCCTTCTTGATGAAAGACCTTCGCCGTCCTTTCACTCCTCTTAGCAGGAGCCGAAACAGCTATCAAATTGGGTCTCACTTCAGCTCAGCTACAACCCGAGATAGACATTGATTGGGTGCGCCATTCTCTTGAACTTCTTTCTTTCGAGACCATATGTGCGTGCTTCCTTTTCCCCGGACAGTCGCTTTTGAGAATGAGTGCAGCGCCCTTTCCTTTCTTTGTTGACCGAGAGAAGATTTCAGTAAATTACTAAGGAGCCTCACCTCTATATTTCTCTTCTGAAGGCTTGGATCGAAGCATCCTCTTAGCTGCCTCTCACGTCGCTCACAGCAAACCATGGGTGAGGTGCGTGTCTGTCTTTCAATGCCTGTGTCCTGTTATCAAATGGAATCTCAAAAATTCTCTTGCTTATCCATAACCGCCCAAAGCGATCAACAAAGGATCAAACCGTAAACTTACAATTACCTTCCTTCCCATTTATCAAATATAGATGGAAACCACCCCGTAGCCCTCCCCCCTAGCCCTCCTCAGATTTCAACCTCGTAGGAGTCGAGCTCTGCGCTTCTAGTTATGTCCCCGAAAAACTCCTACTTTACCCCTCACTTCTTTTCCTCAATGCATTAGGTAATTCTGCTTTTAACGCAGGGGTATGTTGACAAAGAAGCACTTCGTCATGCTGAAGTTGATCCCATCTTCATCGGATGATCCGAAACCTACTACGAAATAACAACTACGCAAGCAACTCCGAAACGAACTCCTTTCCGACCTTCTATTAACCAATCACTTCAGTGTGGTACCGCCAGGAGTACCTAACGAGGTACCTCAAGCACGAATCAAAGCGCAGATGTTCTAAGTCCAAGCCTATAGGATCAGTCTCTAGGCCTTCGAGCAAGCCAAATAGGAAAAAAACAATTTCAAGAAGATTGTCTGACAGGAGATACATAATTTAGAAAATATGGATTTTATGCTTAGTATGGACCGGCCTTTCTTTTTTAGGTTGTTAGGCGATGTGCTAGCCAATCAGTAAATGAATTCGCAATTACGTGAATCGTAGCCTATAGACTCCCCACCCTCCACATTGGTGACTGGTTTGGTCGGTAAACTCGAGTCGAGCAAAGAGAACTATGATCCGCGCCCCCGTCTCATAAAGTCTACGACCCAGCTTCTTCCTCTCCGAGGTCGAAACACAGGGGAGACTGGGCGAGTAGAGTAGGATAGTGGACTTCGTGAATTCCGTCTATCGGCTTTGAGGTTCAGATACGGGTGAATGAAGGAGAAATTCTTTATTCGAGTAGGGGAGGAGAATTTCTTTGATCAATAGGAACTTGCATCAACAACGACCTGAAGGGTTCAGACTGTGTTCAATACCTTGCAAAAGTTAACAAATCTATTCATGTCATAGAAGTGATCGCTACACCCGCTTGATCCACAGAGTCAGCTAGGGCATGTCGCATCATCTGGTTCAAGCTTAGGAGCTACTGCCGCATCTCTCTAACAAGACAAAAGCGTTTCATTAAGTACTTATAGTTTCGCTTCCTTGGTGTACCTTTATTTTTAGGCATCATTTTACCTCATCTGCTTCCGTGGTGACAGTTATGAGTAAACCCCAGCCAGATCGGGTGTCAAAGAAAGAACGCTCGCATGTCCTTCCTTTAGGGCTGCTTCTTCTTAATCATAAGCAGTGAAAGCGGACAATACTCTTTTTGCTAAGAAGCCAATCATAAAACATAAAAAGCTTTGTCTCATATATATGTGAAATGAGTCAAAAATCCTATTGTTTCTTTTAAGGGGTAAATAGGAGTCATTGCCTATTTGCTCCAACTAACTACCCTCCTCTGATAGGATTCATATTCATCTTGTGCTTTTTCCCTTTTTCTTCTTGTTCACCCTCAACAAAAGAATGGATTAAGGTGAGAGATTGTTATCAGTATACGCTATGCTTCGTAATGGAAACTCTTTTTTTGGTTCTTTGGCTCATCCTTCAGTTTTATTTTTTCTCTTCTGCTGTTAGAAGACCACAATATTCATCCTTTTTTCTTTAATGCTCTCAATGTTGAATCTATCATTTGCTATCCTTTTCCTTATGAGAGTCCGGAATGGTAGAAAGGTAATGAACCCTGCGATTGCTACTGAATACCCTCCTTTTGCTTTCTCAATAATGAATCCTTTGACCTTTTGATTTGTTTTCCAAATTTTGTTCAGTTCCATCCAAGCTCGGTTTTTTCTGAATCTTCGTGGTAGAATCATCGTTTGCCCCGCGACTCTCTCTGTGTATCCCACCAAATCATTGACCCTTTCTGCTGCTCTCTCTTTGCTCATTGATTCCCCTACTACTAGATCGATGAAGAATCTCTCTAAAATCTGTTTTTTGCTCATTGATTCCCCTACTACTCTATGCTTATATCCCACCTTATTCTCAAACCTGTTTTCTCTGTTGATTTGTAATATTTGAGTCTCATCTTGCATACAACTGATGGTCTTCGCTGGTGCTTCATCCACCAAGAACATTTCTTCCCCTAATCTCGAAACTGTAGATTGTACGGCGTTTCCACTACATAATCTAAAACTGACATTAGCTCTTTTAAATGATCTACTCAAATAGATGTTCATCCTAAGCTTTTTTTCTCCTCCTCTTCCTATTGATCAAAAGACGTGGATTGAGAATTCTCTTCTTTCTCCAATACCGGAGAGTGTGAGTGGCAACAGCAAACATAAGTGACCAATCAGAGGAGATCTTGTACTGGGCCAGTTTTAAGGTTCCAGTCAATCCAAGGTTTCAAAGAGGTACCAAAGAACTCATTGTTGCAAGCAGGAGGAATCAGCACTCTCCAAATGTCTGTAGCAAAGGGACAATCTCGCAATACATGAATTGAATCCTCGCAGGCTCCACATAGATCACAACTAGCAGTATCCCCACCAAATCCACGACACATTTTTGCATACTTGGTAAGAAGTCTATCATGCCTGACCAACCAGACGAAGTGTCTGAGTCTATATGGACCCTTAAGATGCCAAATAGCATCCCACTGCTGCGTGTCAGTAGGACTAATATCACCAGGCCTCAAGAGGTTATAGCACGACTTGGTAGCAAGAAGGTCGAAAGGGTTCAAGCTAGGACTCGTGCCAAAGCACTGAGTCGGTATGTGGCAAAGTGGAAAGAGGATGCGCACGTACCAAAGGTGGAAGAGTCGCCGAACAGGGTGGTAAAGGGTTGTCGAAAAGGTGCAAGCGCCGAGGAATTCGAAAGCAAGGATGCGTTCCAAGTGTCAAGGCAAGAGGTCTTGCCGCCGAACGCTGGCCCTGTGTCTTTTATTTGTCCTATCGCGTGCTGTCTTTTTGCGTTGGGCCTATCGCATTCCCTCTTTTTAGTATTCGCGATCTCTGCCCCAAGGCGCCTTTCCTAGAAAGTATGATTATCCGTCCTGAGGAAGCAAGCCAGGTGTTGACCTGATTTGAATCGTGTACTTCGACCCGGTCTTGTTTTCTTATCTTTTCCGGTATGTGACTTGTCTTTATTGTCAACTGTACAAATACGGACTATTATTATAGAATAACAGAAATTTTAAAAAATAGTCCGCTATGGAATAGTCCGCCTCGTAAGTAGCAATTGTATTATATCTACGAGCCTATGGTTCTTTATACTGCATTTTGCTGGATTGAGGTGTGATCTAGAGTGAAAATCCAACTAAAGGTTGGCTCGCGAGAGGAAAGGGATGAGATTGGGGCTCAGAGTCTGTATCCCAGGAATGCCAGATCCGGATAAAGAGGGCTTGATGAATAGGTGCCCTATCTTGAGCTTGAAGAAGAAGAAGGAATGACCAGGGTAGAAAAAGGGAGAGCTAGCACTTTCACTTTCAAGCCGACATACCCAGCTAGCTACTTAGGTACCACAGTGAATTGATTGGTGAACCTTTTATTCTGAGCTTGCATATCTTTACGAAAATGCTTATGATTATAGTACATAACCGAAACTCTCTCATTCTCAGTCATTTGAACCTTCCCCGGAGAACGGTCTGAAACCGAATAGTTCGCATCACCAGTTTAGTTCGAAACTGATCTCTTCGTTGTCGTCCTCATCTATGTATTCGATTAGGTAGTCAGTCAGTTGAAACTCATTCGGAAATCGCTAAGATTTGACATCAATGAATAGCTCAGATATGATCGCTTGACTAGATGCTTAACACACGCAAGTCGAACCAATTCTCTAGATCGAAGTCCTAAAAGCATCCTCTTTCCAGTGCTATCACCCAATAGCAGTTTTGTTCTTTTCTTCCTCAAACTCCAAATCTATCTGATGATCACGTGCTGGTGGGAATCTCATCTTTCGAGAGAGGGATCGTGCACATATAAATGCTTCGATCGAGAAGGTCAACCCATTCAAGAAAACTTGTCTTATACGGCCGGGTTTACAAGGGCACAAACTTCCGTAAATCCATCTTTTGGGGAATCACCCTTAGATGATCCCAGAATCATTTCTCCTCTGCACACGTACTAGCTCTTCCTTTTCTTGCTGTGGGGATGTCCTCTGAAGTGGTTGAATCAATAGGGAGAGGAACTTCTCTTCTTTCTAAATTCCCTCCACCTTTTCCATCTTGGATTTTACCTTCATGTTCCTTTATTTCATTGAAAGCGCAATTTGTCGCCGGGGAAGGCTCGTTTTTAGCCTTAACCTCTTTTTCAAGTTGCTTGATTAATTCAAATTCATCTGACTTTTGATCTATGTTTAAGTCTTTTTCCACTCCTTGACGAACTTCGGAAATCCTTTGTCCATCTCCGAGATCTCCTTTTCTCTCTTTTAAATTATCTTGAAGGAGTTCATCCGTTCGTTGTTCCAAGGCGGAAGGCTCAGAGGACGAGTCATCCGAAGGATTTATCATATTTAGTTCGATCCCCGAAGTGATAAGAGCTTTAGCAAATCCAATGGCCAAGGGGAAAGCCCAGCGGAGCATCCCAGGCTTTAGCAAAAAAAGCGAGATCGCTCTCCCACTTAGTGATAAAGCTGTTGTACCCAACATTGAACAAAAAAGATCCATGTAACCGAAATAAAGACAAACAAAATAGCACACACTCAAAAAGGTCAAAATTATGAGAAGAGAAAAGAGATATTGACGTAACAGAGGACGTTGATGGATAGTCATGATTATGATTTTTAGTTTTTTCCTTTCTTAAGAGACTCCGGACGCTCGTTGTCCTAAGCCCCGGGCATCCGGTTACCTTTGTGGATCTCCGCCACCAGCTTTTGCGCTATTGTTACGTACGACGTCTCTTCTCTATACGAAATTCTTACTTAAATAAGAGAAGAACGGAACAAAACTATTCAAATAGTCTACGAAGTGGCACGGAACAAGAAAGAAAATCCTACTTTTCTTTATTTCCAACTCGTTGATCAAAGAAAAGATTGATTGATCGTCCTGAGTGAGACATGTTACGTAAATTGTTGAGTTCTTTTAGCAACGCTCTTTGGAGGATCCCGCCCCCTTAGAGAAGCAATAGAGGGCAATGGCCAATCCTATAGGAGTTTTCTCTTGCATTTTAGTCATTGATTCTCAAAAGATCTATATAAGGAAATAAAGAGAGGAAGAAAAAACAGAGAAAAAGAGAATTCTTGCTTGTGATGTTTCCAATTCAGTGAGCATTCGGCATTGAAAGATGGGGGAGAAATTCTGAAACAGATGAGAATTGAGGAGCCCGGGACACTTGAGAAATAGACACTCGATAGACGCCGATCAGCCCCTATAGAGGAGAGGTGATCCTTCGAAGCTACCTAATTCAAATGAAAGCGATGCCCAAACAGATGATGGAATTCTCTTTTGATAAGCTATTACGAAATCAGAACATTCCACAAAGAGCATTTCACGTCAAATGCCAGCATGCAACTAATATGCAATGCGGGGTCTTTTCTTGGGGCAAGACTTCACCATTGCAACACCAAAATGAC